GTGTCTGTTTTATTTTTGCCTTTTTCTAAGAGTGTTTTATGGTCTTTGGAAAACCTGTGACTACTTAACTCTTATGTGGGTTGTTCATATTCATTTAAAGGTTTATGGCCACTTAAGGAGCACCAAGTGGAGTAGATACCCTCATCTTATACTAAACATCATTAGTACTCATACCTGCCTGATTTTACATGGTCAGTGCAACTAGCTTCTTTTTTCAGTCGCTGTGAAGTAATGAGAAGGATTTGATAAATTACTCATATACTTCGAATTGTTTATTAAAATTTTTATATGACTAGTTTGTAATGCTGTGAGAAAATAAGCAAACCTGTCAGTCAGTCATTGAGTGTTTTTGTTTTTTTCAGTTTCTGAATAATTGAATCATTTAACTTTTTCAAAATTATTATTATTATTATGGCTTTTGTGTTGTCTTTTGGGTTGAACCTAAAATTTCTGCACAGAGGAAAAATATGATTTATGATTTGATGAAACAGTTTTACTGATGGAAATCATAAAAACTAAAAATACCGTAATTAAAAGAAGCTTCATGTGGAACGTGCTCGTGATAAAAGCAACACTTTTTGTGATTTTAAGATGAAATTATACATCTACAGTGTTTGAGAAATAAAAAAAAATTCATCTATAACTTATTTTAAACTTAAATTTAACATAATGTATTCCAAGTTATATGTTACAGTTTATCATGAAAGTTATAATACATGCATACCATGCCCAATAATGTCTGATCTCAGAAGATAAGCAGGGATTTCTGCCAATTGGAATGTCAGTGGTTTGATCCCTGCTTATGACATTTGCATGTTAATGATTCCTTGGGCTGAACCCGTAGTGTTAAATAAGTACCAGTTTGCTTTGTTGGTTGGTTGGCTGGGAGTCCAGTGCTAAAGTTGTCTGAGTAATGGCAGTGTTATTACTTTTGTAGGTTTTTGGTCATAAACTAAAGAATATGACAAATTAAGACTTGATGAAAAGTTAAGGCATTATCTAAGCTCGAATGAAATTCATCTGGTTCATCTGTTAGCGAATCACATCAGATCCCAAACATGACATGGATGTGTCACTTCCTGGATTCCTCGGCCAACAGGAATTCATTTATATCGGTATAACTTTATTCATCTTTCCTTGACACACACACACACACACACACGTGTATATAAAAATACAACTTTTGTAAAACTGCTTTTTCCTGCTTAAAACATGTGTGGCTCTGAGAACCACAGGCAGAAAGTGTCCCGGTTTCAAATCCAAGTCAGCAGAGACAAGTTGATTGTAAAGTATTTATTCGTACAAAAACAAACCAAAAAAAAGTCTTAAGAAAATTGCATGATTAATATTTTGAATAGTTTGAAGCGTTTTCTAACTGAAACAGTGCCGTTAGTCATGGGTGAATGGAAGCACTCACATGGAACACAATGGGCCCAACAAAAGCTCTAAATTCCTAAACAACATCCGCCCAAGGAGACACAAGCAAACATTCAATGGCATGTCTGTCTGCCCCTGGACACACACTCGATCCACGGTGGCAGCAGCGTGATGTTTACCACAGAGACACAGCACACAGAGTTTTAAAAATGCTTTCAGTCGGAAAATGAAGGAGCGGATACACCGAGGAAAAGAACACGATGCTGACAGAACTGAATATGGTACACAGTATGATTTCTCTATATGAAAAAAACAAACAAACTGAAGTCTGGTGATGGGCAGGAGCCACTGGTGTTGAGTCAGAGCTTTCTCACACCGGTCATCCAGTCACAAATCTGAAGGTCCAGTTTTTAAATCCATATGCCATCATACTTACTGCTTATTTCTGCCAGAAGGGGGAACACGTTTCTGATCACAACACATCAAACACAGCAGGAAAGAACTTTGTGATAAGACACCCCTAAATGGAGGGATTTTTCAAAGGCTGCATTAAAGGTCAAAAAATGATCACTGATATTTTTGTAATACCTTATGCAGACTGTTATTGGGATCTTTAAAATAAGTCACCTATTTCTGTGTTATGAGCACGTGGCCTGTTGATTCATTTACACAGGACTTCTAAAGGAATATGTCATAAATGTCATATTTGCACTCAGACACATAGTCACATCTAAACAAACAGCTACCAACAGTAAGTTGGTATTAGCACTTTAATATTTCTCAATCAAACTTAAAATCTCAACCAATGCTCATAACTAATCCCTAAAGCATTAGTAAGCAATTTAGTGGTAGTTAAACTACTCCTGATATTTTATGAACTATTTATATGGGATGCCTTGTCAAAAAGTTGTATGAGAACGTGTCAGATAAACTGAAGTGAGGTGATGTTTTTAAGGGTTTACTGTAGATATGATGCAAAGTTTAGGTTGTTTGATCTCCTGGGATTAATTTGACTGGGACTATAATCTCAACTGCATGCCACACCAGAACAACAAAAACAGAAGAAAATAAAATACAGTTTACAAACAACATTATACAGGTGTTCTTCTGTCTACAAAAAGACTTTCATTCAAAAGGTACACATTTTTTGTCATATAAATATATCAATTTCATCCAAACCTATTCCATTTTTTATCTATATAAAAATCACTCTTTGGGTTGATCCTCCCCCTACAACCAGCTGAGACAACACAAAGACATCTGCATAGGTTTGCGCAGCTGCGTTAGACGTGAGTTCAAACACAGACAGACATGAGAGACATCGCTGCACCACACTGGGAGTCGTCCATGCATTTTCAGGTCAACGCCTGCTTTTCGACGACAGACGTCACCTACGGAAAGAACGGAAGCCCGCGGCCGAGAAATCAAAGTGCCCGTGAAGTACTGAAGCAATGAGAATGGAGGTAGAACTTCTCTGATAGTGGTAAACGCAAAGCAAAGCAGCAAATGCTGACCACTGTGGGGGACGTTTCATGGAGTTACTGTACACTGACATGCCTTTTAACAATGCGAAATTCAACACGTTGTTGACACGGAGAGCTGATGAGCACTCTACATACAGCAGTTCTGCTTTCTTCTCAAGCTGATGTAAACATATTGGAAATTTTGGTCAACTAGGAAGATGATTGACATCATGGGGACAACATTCAACAGTAGATTATCGTTTAAAAAAATTATACATTTTTAAATCTTAAATATAACATTAAATGTAGAAAAATAACAGCTGGACAGACTTTGTAAATTACTTGAGCTACCCAAAGGTTTATTCAGGTGTCAGAGGTGAACATGGAGGCCTGACTGTGTTCATAACACAGATCATTACACATTCACGCAATTCAGATATTCTCTTAATATAATACAAATATTATGATCCTTTTCTTTTTGGGTTAGGAAGCTAGAAACTTACACTAACCCGAAAAAAGTGTTGTAAAGTACAACAGGTAAATGGTAGGCTGGAGAGTTGTCGGAGAGTGTTGGTTGCATTATACAAAAAAACCCCAACAACTTAGGATTTGAGTTTCTTCTCCTGCTTTCAATGGAAAAATAATTTCTTTAAAACTAAACCAACTGTTGCAAATGGAACTATCTGCAAATACTTCAAAAACACATAATGTCACATTTTATTAAAGTTGTTTGGCAACATGACCACATCCCTAGAGCTGAAAACGCCTGCAGCAGTCACTTAACGATGGCTCCAGAAGTGAGTGATTCCCCTAAAGTCTCATGTTAACATGGATGTTAAAATCTATGTTTACAGCCTTATAATTAACTCTTCCATTAGGGTATAAACCCAAGGCTAAAAACTTGGGTGTAGACCTTTTGACTAGCAGGTGTGCTAACAGCTAGCTAGAAGCTGTATAGCTACTAGGCTTCACCTCTGCTAAATTGAACTAAACACCATATATGTGGTTTCTTTTCTTTTTGAACTTTTTAAAGTAGAATCTTCTGAAAATATATACGGCAGCCGTGCCATACAGAACATCTGCTGGAGTTTTGGTTAATGAATTTCTGGTATGTTCTTAATGCTACTTAGCACTAATTAGCTTATCAACGCAGTTTGCTAATCATGCTAGCATGACTTAGCACTCCAGCCTCTGATCCAAGCTCTGGCTCCAAAAACACAACATGCAGTGGCCAAAATGCTTAAATTGAAGTTTCAAAACTATAGAGTCCAGAATTTTCTATAAAGTCTATGGTTCACTGATCCATTGGGCAATGGACTGTAGCATTAGCAATCGTTTTAAAAATACGTTTCTTTGTGCCAAATAAATTTCAGGGCCAAAAAAGTTGGAAATTAAAATAATGGAATAAAGATAGTGATGTCTTGGTGGATTTAATGAGAAAAAGCAAACAAACGTTAAGCTATTTGTTTCTATAAAAATATTGCTTAGTGCAGCTTTAATAGTATGTATATATTTGTGATACCCCTGTAGAGATATCTTCTTACTCTGAGTGTTTGGATGTGGGGCTATAAATGATGGGGCTCCCCCCCCACTCACTTAAGCCAAGTAAACAACACTCTATATTCCTGATACATCAGGCCTCATGTTCCCCTGAACAAATGAATAAACCTGAGAGATCACATGGGCTGACTGGAGCATTGTTACTCTGTACCTAGAGGATAGCAATCATATTCTGTCATGTCTTATAGTATTATAGACTTATAGCTTTCTCCAACTATCCTCATCTTTTCTTCGTGATCCTGCTTGGTCCCACGTATCTGCCCGTCTTTCCCCAGACTCCTTGGCCCGCTAACTGGGATGCATACAGTAAGAGTTAATAAATAGTCTTCTTTCTCTACAGAGTTGGCAGTGGGGTAGTAGAGATAGTTTTAGGCACTACAAGGAAACCTCCCCTTCTGGAGGTACATTTCATGACCCTGTTCATGCTCTGTAAGATCAATAGCTTTCTATGTGAGGGGCCTTAAGCCAAAGCCTCTGGGGAAGTTCTCAACATTTCACTCACTGTCAGCAGTCACCAATTAATCACTAGGAGAATAATAATGGGACAGATAAAGTGCAAAATGACCCCCCCCCC